GTATGGTACACAGGCTAGTGAATGTCCCTCTTTCGGAAGTAAATTTTAATAAAGAACTCAATATCATGAAACAGATTGCAGTCAACAACGGATACAACGTTAATTTGATAGACAGTATTCTTTCTAAAAAACATCATCATAAAGCTATTCAAGAAGTTTATCCTACCATCAGGAATAATAATAATCAATATTATAGAACTTTAACCTATTTCGGATCATCAACTGAGAAATTAGCTTCATTTCTACATAAACAGGACTTAAAAGTGGCATATAGAACAAATAACACCTTGGGACGGTTTATCAAGAATAATAAAGACAAAACTTCTAAATTCGAAAAATCAGGGATATACAAACTCATATGTGGATCTTGTCCTAAGGTATATATCGGTCAGACAGGTCGTACGTTTAATCAGCGCATTCTTGAACATAAGATGTATTTTATGAAAAAGAAAACAAATTCAACATACGCCAACCATATATTAGAAGAAAACCATAGTTTTGATGATAATTTCGAAATTCTGCACATAGAAAATAAAGGACTGAAACTCAATCATTTTGAATCATTAGAAATCAACAAACTCAAAAATACTGTGTACATATGGGAGATCGGAACCATGAATATTGATATTATGAGATCAGTTCTCCTGTGAAAAAAATCCTAATATGATTTCATAAAAATACTACCCCTCCGTTTGTCTCTGAAATATTGACCATATGGATGGTTATTCATACCGGTCCAAATTTGGACCGTTTGAACTCAGCAACAAAATCCATCTTCATCTTGTTGAAAAAGATGCTCCACCCATGAAACACTGCTGCTGGTATCTTGAACAGTCAATGATGAAGATTTTTCTCATTTATTTATGTATAGATGGATACCAATTACTGGGTTATCAGTAACAAAAAAAAATGAATCTTCACAGCTGGTATCCATTCTTTATTGAAATCAACTGCTCGAACAAAAAGGGAATAAATTATTATTCCCTTTACACCTGTAACGGTCACTGCTCCTCAAACCCATATTTTCTCCTTTTGAATCAAACAAAATGGCATGTTATCAGTTCTAATATCTCAGGGGCGGAAAGAAAAATGAGATGTGTGCGAGACTGACCAAAGCAAATAGGAAAAAATAAGGATAGGTCGTGCGTCGGCTAATCCTTTAACAATACGAAATGTTTTCCACAGAGGAAAAGTTATGGCCCAGATATGGGTAATGGAAAAATAACAACGGTGATCCAGACGAAAGCCTTATGTATGGGTGCGTTGGCTTTCCTAGGTCTAAGAAGGGATTTATCTGCAAAATCCTATTACATTTCTATATTCTCGACGTTACGTGCCTTTCAAAAAAGTGGAAGGCGAACTGGAAGGTCAACAAAATTACGATTAGGCATGAAGATATGGAATGAGTGAGTTCAAATCAATCTGTCGACAAACAATACTAGTAGGCCAGGTAGCCGTGCGGACAGAGTGTCTATACTGGGTGTCAACGAATCTATTAGACAAGTCATAACTTCTAGACCATTGAACATAAATTGAATAATACTGACGAAAATGTTCTTATTTTTGATCCAATCGCAAATAAATTAGTATCGTTAGATTCGTCAGAATATCCTTTTTTCGGAAAGTGCTTGTCAAATGTCAGTGCGTTTGAAGAATTTAAAGAGCCTAGAAGCAAAATTCACTATACAGTGTGTCCCACTCACCATGCTCACAATGGGTATCTTTTTAACGGTGAGAGATACGAGGTCGGTTGAATGACACCAAATGTGGAGTTTGTCAAGGCCAACTAAATTTATAATGTGAAGAAATATTTTGATAAAATTTATTCGTTTTCGTTTTATACGCAAAAAACAGATTTTGATCATTTTCATTCCTCCTCCGTAACTTCTTTATTTATGGAACTATTCGAGTAGGAGTTTCACATTCTCATGTGGCAGTTTTCCAAAGTGTTTTCGAAAAAAATATGGAATTTATACCAACTCTTCTGGAATTTGAGATATCAGCACCAACTTTAGTTTTTCAAATGTAGGTCATAGCTCATTATGACTAAGTTACAAAAAAACCTTTTTTCTCTTACAGATGATATGTCGCAGTAATAGTTTTGTGTTGATAACAACGGTCGAGTTATCGTCATTTATACAAAACAAAAAATTATTTGGGAGCCGCCATCTTGAATTTATGTATTTTAACAAAAAAATCGTGATCTCCGACCTCAAAAACCCCCACTTAACAATTTTGAATGGAATCCGACCAAATCTTGTCCGCCATCTTGGAGCAGCCATTTTTTTAATTTCAACAAAAATTCCATAATGTATTGTCACCGAAATTATGAACACCTGCCAAATTTCAAGTCAATCGGAGTTATGGATTTTTTGTTGAAATTAAAAAAAAATTGCTGCTCCAAGATGGCGGAAAAGATTTGATCCGATTTCATTCAAAATTGGTAAGTGTGGGTTTTTGAGGTCGGAGATTATGATTTTTTTGTTAAAATTCATAAATTCAAGATGGCGGCTTCCAAATAATTTTTGTTTTTGTATAAATGACGATAACTCCGTTGTTATCAACACAAAACTATTACTGCGACATAATATCATCTGTAATAGAAAAAAAAGTTTTTTGTAATCAGTCAAGTCATAATGAGCTATGACCTACATTTGAAAAACTAGAGTTGGTGCTGATATCTCAAATTCTATAGAAGAGTTGGTTTAAATTTCATATATTTTCGAAAATACTTTGAAAATCTGCCATGAGAATGTGAAATTCCTACTCGAATAGTTTTATAAATAAAGAATTCACATTATAGTTGGCCTTGACAAACTCCACATTTGGTGTCATTTAACCGACCTCGTATCTCTCACCGTTAAAAAGATACATATGGTGCGCATGGTAAGTGGGACACACTGTATAGCTTGTCAGTGACAATATGGATTGAAAAAGGTTTGTAGAAGAGAAATAAAGAAACACAGAAAAACTATCAAATTTTTACTTATCTTTGGATGTTTCGGAAATAAATCTGCTCCCGTTTTCAACATAAAAAATGGATTTTAATTTTTGTATGGCAAATTCGTATTTGTCCTGACACTTTCCAGTTCTCAGTGACAATTGGTGACGTTGGCAATCAAATGAGTTACAGGATGTTTCCATTAATCAATCTTGAATTTACCATTTCCATCTCCAGATTTAAATAGTGAATACCATGTTCTATCTATATCAACATTATCAACTAAACAGGAAGCAATGCAATTGTCTCTGTCCAGAAGAATGCAAGCAGATTCCTTGATTTTCTCTTCTGGTTGTTATCTTCTTCTCGAATGATTTCAGTATTATTCCACTCTACCATATGTTTTCCATCTGCAGTAGGGATATGTTCAGCTAGTTTCGATTTGTCGATGTGTCTTTTCTTTATATTGTATTTATGTTCCATCGTCCTTACTGAAAGAGGTCTCTTAGTTTCATCTGTATAAAACTTTCCACAAATACATCAAGGTATACTGTAAATATAATTTTTAGACGATTGTTCTTCATTTATTATATTAACCTATTCGATTATCAAACATGTCAACTATAAACCTGTTGAATTGGCTATGGGGGGCCATAATTACGAAATCATTACTGAATAATATACAGGTATAGTTTCTTGAGCCCTTGTGTGTTGAGTCAACTTTCAACAAATTATTTTGGGAGTTGAAGTTAGAGTGGGGAATCTTCAGAATTCGGTGATATTTGTTGTGGTGTACCACAAGGATCTGTGCTGGGCCCAATTCTCTTCTTTTTATACATTAACGATATAACTTCCATCAACATAAGTGGGTCATTTACGCTCTTCGCTGACGACACAACACGATGTCGATGAATTAACTAGGACTGTTCGTGATGATCTGCTTAAAGTTAAAGAATGGTGCGATTGTAACCTGCTCTCACTGAACCTATCCAAAACTAATATCATGACATTCAAATATTCTATAGATAATCTTCCATTGTGTCCAAAGGTTATAATCGAAAATAAACCTAATTGTAAGTTTCTTGGGCTACATATTGATGGGAGATTGAAATTTGATAGCCATGTGATGAACCTAAGTGAAAAATTAGCATCGGGGTGCTACGCTGTAGAGTAGTTGCAAATGAGTTAGGTGTTGCAGTTGCAAGGATGGTATTTATTTTTCGCTGGTGGAATCGCATTTACGGTATATGGTGACTTTCTGGGGAGTCTGTAACCAGCAATAATTTATTTCTATATTCGTACTACAAATGAGGGCTATGAGATACATGTGTAAAGGAAAATTTCGCGACCTTGCTTCAGGCTCACAACATTCTCACATTACCATGTATCTTCATCCACGAAACTGTATGTCTGATACATAAGAAATATTTTGGAAATGTGAACACTGAAGCACGTTATAACACTAGAAATACATCCAGCTTGAACCTGCCTATCCCCAATTCTAATCTCACGAAGCATTCGATCATCTACAATAGAAGAAAGATGTATAACCATTTACCATTAGCCATAAGAACTATATTCTTCTACTCAGTGAATTTTGAGAGGCTGTGAAAGAAATACTAGTGAAAAAAGCATATTATAATCTCCAGGAATTCTTCGACGATATCGCTATTAACTAAGACTCGACAATTTTTATTTCAATGAGGCATTTTGATTCAAGTCTTCATTTTATGTATAAATATATATATCGATACATTATATCATATTTAGGTTATTTTCTTGACCATACACATTGTTGTGTCATATTATTTCAATTATGTTTGTATCGATTTTACTTTTATATGTATATGTGTGTTTTCTTCACTTCACATTGTTTCTATCTTTCATGACGTGTCTTTTTTATCATGAGACTCTAAATGAATATGTATCAACCATCTTTGTCGATAAGAAGATTTTTCTTTGACAATAAAGTATATTTTTGATTGATTGATTGATGATTGATAAATCTGTTGAATCCAATAAGAAAAATGAAATTAAACTAATAGAGGCACTATACTTTCCATAGCTTCTATTCATGTAAATAAAACAATACAGAAACTGAAAACAATACTAATGTGCAAAATCCATATGTAGATTGACTAGAATTGACTCCGTGTGGACCTATCTTTGATGCATAACTTATGGCGTAGGCCACATAAGTCTGCTCGTGAACTGAGGTGAACAGATGGGCCATCGGTCCTGAAAAAAAGAAACAGAAAGTAAGAAACTTCATCTGAATTTCCATATTGAGATGACATGCCGAACGTGTAACTAGGTAGGTATGTATAATACAAATTTGTCCAACTGTCTAGAGTACGAAATTTTTAGAATATTGTATTCAGTGTCGTCTCTTGAGACTCTCAAGAATAAAAAGAATCGCTTGCATCTTATACCATATTGGCAATTTGTGTATTTTCGAAGGAAGATGCAGAAAGCTGGTTTCGTCACCTTCTCCAACACAATTTGAATGTGCATGTAACAGAAATACAAAGGTAACATAACATGACTGGATGAATACATACATACTTTGATAAAATATTCTGTAGTAGGTACTTCAAACAACACAATTTATTGATAAATGTTTAATTTCAACTGTAATTGCAATTGAGTATATATATATATATAAGGAAGGGAAGTCTTTGCTGACCAGTTAGAGATAAAACTAGTAGTTTAGTGGGGATGCAGCAAAAGTAAATGTGTACTCATTCAAGTTTGTCCGAGCTTTCGGAAATGTATATTTCCATCATCAGGGTAGACTACAAAAATTGGAGGTATTAAAATTAATTCACAATATTGAAAAAACTTTGTCACTTACACTTATTGAGAATGGTTACTCTGTTGTAAAATTTGTAAAATTGTTAACATTAACATACTGGTGAGACGAAAAACAAGTTAAAAAAATTATTTAGTTATAATCATGATTATATAAGAGGCTACTTATTACCTCATGAATAAGTTTGAATTTTCAAAACCAACGTGGTTGAAACGATTTTAACGAATCTGCAAAATATAGGTTAGAATGTTTCTTCTTCTTCCCTTTCTTAGGTTGACATGAGTAGGTCGTAAGTCAGAATTCTTAACCCTTATGGTACATATTAATGTTAGTAATCCTTCAATTCTCAACCCAATGGAACAGAAAAAGGGGGAACATACTAATTACTAGTTGGCAGACCATGAAATACAACAGGTTTAACTGGAAAGGGTTTGATGTGAGGAATTTTAAAAAAATTTTTATATTAAAATTTTTAAAAAAAGGACTGTTATCATTCGGAATTGTTGATGTTCAAAATGTTATGAGGAAATCGAGGTTGTTTGTCCAAAGCTAATAGAAATGAGTATATTTCACTTAAATGTTGAATATCAGTTCTTTTATTAATGCAATTGGGATTTTGTGAGATGAATGCCATTTCTAGGAAGGATCTTTTAGTGAGGTTACTTTCAATTAGGCAATCCAACGACCTGTCAAATAATTTCAAAATGGCGTCTGGTTGGCAAATAAACCAAAGACAAGTTTGTTTACTTGAGAACTTTGTGGATTTTGGAAGCCTCTTACAGTATTATTTTATCGAGTTTCGGCTAGATTTATTGTGAATAATGAAAACTCAGTATGATTTCAAAGAAAAAATTACCAGTAACGTGAATTGTGGTGGATTGTGGAAGCAGTGCAGATCGGGACCATTTGCTGTTTTGTCACATTCCTACTGTAATACTGTGAAAAACTCTGAGCATTACCCACAGATGAAGGATCTATCAAGAATAATAAGGGAAATGTGGATAGCAGCCATCAAGAGAAAGAATCAGCAACAGAATCAATCATAATAAACCAGAGGATATGTGGCAGACACTATTTTCATAACAGGTACCTAAGAAAAAGGATTTTAATATTATTTATATGTACCTACCTACTCTAGAACTGATGAGTTTAGTGTTTCATCCTATGGAAAAAATCTTTTTTCATTTTGATAAAATAAACCAATACTCATTACTTTTGATGGTCCTACAAGGGACTCTAGTCCTACATAGTTTGGAAACATCATGTTTCTAATACATAAATAAATCATCTACCTTGTAGGAGAACATAGTGCCTGAAAGATGAGAATATCCAGCTTGGGTCCCATTGCAATATAATATGGGTCATCAATCTCTTGTCCATTCGAAATGCAAGACTGATGTGGATCAAAAACTGAGAGCAGACAAAAGGTTCAAATCATGAATCAAGCATCAGAACGGAGAGACCTGGTATGTTCTCAAGAAAACACCTAATTACCTAATACTACTGCTACATAATTTTTCATTTATTTTAGTGTAATGAAGAAAGTGTCCTGGGATATAAAGAAATAGAAGAGAAAATTGGTGAAAACAGGGTGAAAATCTACAAGATTATAAATACTTTTACAAATTACAGTTTGTTGTGACTTATTTTTATCAATTTTAAATGTGAGACAAATAAAGTAAGTATATCAAAATAATTGTAATATTCATTAAATGAAAAATACATTGTATTATTCCACTATATTACAAAAGATCTACATGAGCCATGAAAAAATCTTCATAGCACATTATAGTTATTCAGTGATCTGATTGAAACAATAATAAACAATGATTGTATGATATATTTATTATGTATAGGTACATATTTTTTTATAGAACTTGTTGAATCAGAATTCACAAAACCATGCTGATTCTGGTGTACCTAAAATATCTACACATTTGAAATAGAACCATACAATTTCCCTTTATCACTGTCACAACTAGTCATAGGGGTTCCATCATCAGCACTTGAACACTTACACCAATAGTTCACTTCTGGTGAAATTAATATCCACCCAAAAGTCCAGGTATTATAACTTCAGCATGAAACTTCAAAGAAATTTGTGAATGTTGTTCCCAAAAAACATGTTTCTCGGACTTTGAAGATATAGTAGGGATTTTGTATTGAACCAGCCAGAGCAACTGTACCTATGTCCATTTATGCTATTGGTATGATGGGCACAATCATGGTGAGAGTGGTGGCATGGGCCACACAGCACATACATCAGTACATGAAACTGTTCCTTATTTACTTGCCCAAGCCTCAAGTTACTTATTAGCACAGAATCTGATTGTGAATATTTTACCTATAAAAAAATTGCATAAGATAAACATGAATATGAGGTAGGAAATATATTTAAAAATATATGAATACCATAATTTCATCATTCAAAATGTTCCTATCATGGAAGTTATTTAGGTATAAAAGTAAAAAATTACCTTTCCAACTATGACATGAAAATCATTCATCTTCCTGTCTACTTCCTGGACAAAAGTTGCTGAAAAATACTTGTGAACAACAAGGGTTTTGAATGCTTTCATTAGCTCATGAGGGTAGAAACTGTGGGGTCACTATAAATAGTAGGAGAGTATAATTATGAGGTAGTCTAATCAGTCAGCAGTTTCGAATGTGAAGGGCTTCAAATCCTTGATCAACATCAGCTCCATCAGCTATCTACAAACAAATTATGGTTGTACGATAGTTTCAGGAATGAAAATTTACTGGTTAGTTGAGAAAAATAGCCGAAAAAACAATAAATATTCATGTTTACCTCTGACCAACCTCTGGGTTTTCCTGCAATAACTTCTGGAAATATGAACTCAGCATATTGAAGCACTGTTCAATTCAGCTCCGAGACTCCCTCAAACACCTGACACATAAAACTACCAGAATAATAGGGTGATCGAGAGGGTGATTCGGGCAAAATACAATTCAATTACAAGTGATGTATAATCTCTGTTTGCCAACCAGACGCCATCTTGTCAGCTAAAATGTCACGTGGTTTGGATTGCCTAATTGCTAAAATTCTTGCTGAGTCATAGTCCATACGATGATTCATTTTGTTGACATGATCTGCAAGAGCACATCTTTCTGGATGTAATCTAGAGTCGCTCCTATGGGAGGTGATTCTGTTGGCCAGGGATCTTTTTGATTGTCACACTCCTGACAGGGGATACTGTAGATCACATTGGTTTGTGCCTTTGCAGGAATTTTATCTTTCACTTTTGAATAAATTGATTTAATTGTTAACACTGTTTTGTTAGCTAGTTTAATGTTATTGTTGAGTTTGAAGAATCTGGTTAACTTGGGAGTTAGTTCACTGAAATAAGGAATTGAAGCAAAAATTATTCTGATTGGTTCAGTATTAGAAACCACTGTATTCTGTTCTATGTTCATTACATTTTCAATGATAGGATCTGGTCTAGGAGAACTGTATAATATTTTTTTGATTAAATTAGAAGGATAGGAATTATCAACAAATAAGTTATGAAGTATTTTTAAATTCTTACTGTGGAAAGATATATCAGAGATTCTTGTAATGCGATTTTTCATCTGCTTAACTAAGTTGACCTTCATTTTGTGTCTGTGGTAGGAATGGTAATTCAGATACCTTCCTGAGCTGCATGGTTTTCTATACCAGTCAATGAGGATTATGTTATCCACAGATCTGATGAATTTTGTGTCTAGAAATGGGACAGCTCTGTCCGCATCTTCTGTTTCTATTGTGAACTGTATTGAAGGGTCATAACTGTTAAACGTCTGAAGAATCTCCTCAATACCATTCTGTGGCAAGGATAGAATAATGTCATCTACATATTTATTGATAAATGCCAAATCAAAAGAAAGGACAGGTACTACGGTATCTAGTAAGTCATCCATCACATAAGTAGCCAGAATTGGAGATATGGAAGCACCCATTGGTGTACCAAAAGTTTGTTTGTAAAATTTACTGTTGAAAGAGAAATATGTGCTATCGAATAAAAAAGTTAACAGTTCTAAGAATGACTCTTTTGTTAATTGACAATGGTTACTGATACGATCCCAATTTTTGTCTACAGCTCTCAGACAGGCATCTAAGTAAACATTACTAAAGAGTGAAACTACATCCAAGCTAGCAAGAACATAATTGTCAGGCAATTGCATTTTATTAAATCTTGTTGAAACTTCAAAAGAATCCTTGATATAGTATTGATTATCAAAATCATATGCTCTGGTTAATATATCTGTGAGAAAGGCAGCAATTTGTTCAGTAGGGGCTCCTATAGATGCAACAATAGGTCTGACCGATAAGGTAGGTTTATGAATTTTGGGCAGAGAGTAAAATTTTGGAGATGTACAATTATAATTAGTAAGTTTCTTTTTCGTAGCTTCATCAATCTGTCCAGAA